AAAGTTTCAGCCCCTTAGCTCGTGTGGTTCCCGAGATCGCTTTCCCGCCAAAAAATTTGCATATTCCTTTAAGGGGCACGTACACGGCGCCCATGCGCCCGCAGGGGATGATATTAAAATGGGAGGGTCGAGCATGGTATAGGCACATATTCCCAAAGTTTCAACCTTCTATCTATTCCCGTTCCCGAGTTATCAGTTTTCCCGCCAAAACACTCACACCCTCGTACGCGGGGCCCAGACGTGTCCGAGGGATGGTACCGCGGTTCTGGGGTGGTACTTGGCTGGGGTACCCAATAGCAAAATCTCGGCACTGAAACTTGTTTGGTTGCCGAGATGAAATACCCGGACAGACGAACACACACACACACGCACACAAACATACACACACACATACATACACACACAGACAGGGTCGTTCCAATATGCGTTTTTGCAATTTGCATATAGGCAAAAACGCATAAAAAGAATTCAGTGCAGGTCTCAAGGTCTCCTGAAATAGCAAATTTACGTGTCCTGCAAATTAAAGGGTACTAAGAAACAGTAAACAAGACTACAAAACAGTAAACAAGATACGAATATCTACCACAAAATAAACATTTAGCAAAAAAAATGAGAGGTAAAGGAAATGTCAGATTCTTGTAATTAAATTTGAAAAGCTGAAACTCAGGCCCCCTCACAAAGCGAAAGCTCAATGCCCGAGCTCTAAAGCTGCCAAGTTACCACCCCGATTTTCTGCTTACACTGGGGGAAAAGCATTACAAAAGTCGAACATATATATGTGTGTGCGTGAGTTTCGGATAATTCAATTTTGGAACAGTGACAGTCAGATTGTACGACAGTTTTTTAGGTTTTAAAGGCGGAAGTTAATACGATTTCTATACGAGGAACAAAACCTTTTCACACGGGACTGCATCCTGCTGAGAGGGCTGATGCTCACAAACAAGGCAAATGTTTTGAGGAGCTAGTTCGTCGCAAAATGCGAATTGGATTACCCAAAATCAGTGTTTAAAGGAAGCAATGCCCTGCTCAATGATGCGGCACTCCCAGTTGCCTGATGTTGCAAGCAGTAAGCCGAC